GGTTATGAAACCACCACACTTTGCACAAATGGACTAATAATAAATTAATAGTACACAAATATTAATCATTAAATCAATTAAGAAAATGATAAAACCATTATTAATACCAGTACTAAGAAAAACATTAAAGCACATTTCAACTCTTTTTCTTCACAGTGTTATACTTCTGGAATAAAGAGATGCAAAGACTAATTCAATAAAACTTTGAGTAATGATATATATTGATCAAAACCTCTAATAGAAGATTAAATGAGACAACATATATATAGGACTTTGTCCTATTCACTTAAAGAAAATAAAAAACACTTTAAAATGATTTCTTCTTATAAGTGTAAAAAATAAAATCAAAGACAAAGAAAAAACAATAGAAAAGTTTTTTTTCACCAGGGTTACCTCTACACGTGTTTTCTTTGTCTCTCTTCCAGAGGAAAAGCACCTGGACCAATCCTTCTGTCCCTTTCCTGTCCTCCCAAACCCAGCCGGTCGAGGCAGATGGCCGCCTGTCCTGAGCCTGGTTCTGCTGGAGGTTTCTTCCTGTTAAAAGGAAGTTTTTCCTCTCCACTGTTGTCAATGTGCTGCTCAGGATGGGAGACTGTGACAAATTGAAGATTCAACACAGTCTGCTGGCTTCTTTAGATTTATTGTTTTTTTGTGTAGTGCCCTGAGACAACAGTTCTTGTGATTTGACACGAATTGAATTGAATTGAATTGAACTGAATTGAATTGAATTGAATTGAAACTGAATTTTCAATGGGGTTGAGGTCTGGAGATTGGGCTGTCTTTGGTTGTGTTAGCATCTGATGGTCCTTTATCCACATCTGAACCCCAATGAAAACCTCATATCGGGTAAGAGAACTGTGGGAATCATTGTATGTGTAAGAGTCTAAATTTGTACATGTAAGTCTATAAACGTACATAAATTTGTTACAACTTTGCCACATTACAAGTACGAATCAAATTTACAAGTACAATTCTTTTACCTGTCAAAATAACTGACATGCATGGAACACCGAAAAGATCGATTGCAAACAGTAACTAAGCCAGACCACTAGGGGGACATGACCACTGCCTCATTTGGGACAGATGAACTCATTATAAACACAACAATTTGCTGAAGGGAAAAGCATTTGGAGGCTTTTCAGTTTGTCATTCATGTCATGTAGTACAACAATAAAGTAGATAGTGGATTTATAATGAACAACCAAAAAGGAAAACTGATGCATTCATAAAACCGACTGCATAATGGAAAAAAATAATGCAAGTTCAAAAACACATAACGGCAGTGCTCTGACCCGGCCAGCAGGGGGACTAAAGTCGCCCACCATCAAACCCCTAAACAACTGTAAGTTAAACTGTTTTTACTTTTAATAGTAGTTTGTATTATTTATTTCACATTTGGTACACGTAGTACTTGTCAGTATTTGTAAGAGGATGTGTTTAAACAGTTTCTATACTGAAAGTAGAGCTTCGTTGATTGCTGTTGTTGTTAGCATGGTGTTAGCGTTAGCATGATGATAATAGGAAAGAAAAAAACAGCTTCATGTTTCCTGTTCAGTCGAAGTTTATTTAGAACGGCTTGAAAAGAACAAAAACCTAATTGGTGTTAACAGTGAGTTTAAAAAGCTTTCTCTAACTATATTTTGTTTTGTTTATTAAGACCTTGTTGGCTACATTTTTAAAGCTTTGTCAGAACTACACGGACATTGGTTTTAATTAGAATTACCATAAATCAAAGTTAAACTGTGTTTAACTAAGTTAATCTATTTTTAACTACTACCAAACTACTTCCTTCAGATTTCAGTGACCAATATGTGTAGAAAAATGTTTGCTGTCTCATTAATGAGACTGCTGGCTGTGACTGTGTGATATTATAACTGTGTTCTTTTTAATTTACTTTTATTCAACATGGACCTGAATCTGTTTGTGGACCACTCAGGACCTGTCTCCAGACCTTTGTATCAGAGCAGGACTGAGACCATCAGGCTCCATCAGTGAGACT